TGGCCTGGTTTCTTCAGCTGCAGTGGCGGGGAGAGGCTGCTGCGGCCCACGTGCCATGCATGCGGCCCACGTGCCATGCATGTGTGGAGCACAAACTGTCTTGCCATTTTGCATTCTACCTGTCCAGTCCAACCTCCTGCCACAGGGGGAGCTGAGCTGTTCGGGAATACAAGAACCAAATTCCGGAACACAGATTTTAGAGGAATTCTCTGCCCACAACCACCCTTTTTTCTCCAGCAGTAAAAGGAGAAAAACCCCTCTGAAAACCTGAACCCCAAACTCCCACTGTGAATTCCACACTTCCACCCACAGGAAAGGAGGGAAACTGACTCAGAGCTGACTCTCACCATAAGGGAGTAAATGAGCACAGCTACTGAAACATACTCCAAAGTGGGAGAAGTGAGTATATCACCAGATAACTAAAAGTCAAAGCAGAGTTCCAAGTGAAAGGAGAAAACTGAGAAATACCTCTCCCCCAGAGAAATGTGACTCTTTACCATCAATGGGTAACACACAAGGGATCACAGAAACAGAATTCAGAATATTCACTGTAACGAAACTCAGTGAAAGGCAAGAGAAATCAGACAACCAAGTCCAAGAGATGAGACAATCCCTTCGTGACTTAAAGGAAGAAATCCATAAAGAGATAGATGCCCTGAAAAAGAATCAAACAGAACCTCTGAGATAGAGAATATGATGCAGGAAATGAAAACCTCCCTTAAAAGCATCAACAGAAGATTAGACCATCCAAAGAATGGTTGTTGAAGATAAAAATCTCTGATTTAGATTTAGTCCAAATAACCAGAAAGAATAAAAGAATAACCATGAAAAATCAGAACAACAGGGGCCAGCAGGTGGTGTAGTAGGTAAGGTGCTATACTCCCATGTGGTCAACTACAGTTCGAGTCCTGGACCCTGTGGCTTGAAACACATCAGGTGTGTGTGCATGCATGTCCAAAGAGCTGAGAGGAGAATGAAAGAGAAGGGATTGTGGTGTGGTCATCACCCTGGGCGTGATTTCTCACTTTTCCTCTTTCCGTCTCTGTGTTCAGCTAGCACACACACCCTATAGCAAATAGCTCTCTAAAAAGAATAAAAAGAATTGTATCTCACAGTAAAGAGCATCAATGACAATTCAATATATACTTCTGAAATAACCAATAGAGTGGCTTTCAAATGTTTACAACGTAATGTTATGTTAACAATAAAGGTGGTGAATATTTTTATATCCTTGATTACACACCATATGCATACTTTTAGAAATCACACTGCAACTATGAGTTACAATGATTACATATGAATCATAAATTATAATAAATATTTTTAAAAATAAATAAAAATGGTTAAAGTAGTCCCAAAAAAAGAAAAAAAAGGGGTTTATGGGCTGGCTCCATACCACAGCAGTTAAGTGCTTATGCATAATGAGCCGGATACCTCACGGCCAACTGTGGTTTGAATTCTGTTCCCAGCATCTTGGAAAACATGCCGGGCATGTGGATGCACATGCCTAAAATCCTGATGGGATGGAGAGATGGAGAAAAAGTGATGGTGGCACTACTTGATCGTAGCACGATCACACCCTGCTTGGGGTACATTCTCTTCCTCTCATGAGCGTTGTGACCTCTGGCAATAAAAACTAAAATAAAATTTTAAAAATAGGGACTTTGGTCTTTATCTAAATAAAGTAGATTGACAGTGTATGTCACACTCAAGTTTTGAAGGCATATTTCAAAATTACCCTTACCTCTGTCAAGAAAAACAAAATGTTTTCTGTGATAATTCATATTCAAATACAAGGCACATCAATCATTTAAATAAGCATTGACAAAAATCAGTTTACTGCTTCCTCTGCTTGTTGGTTGGCATGGTATTGATTTATAGGAGATTTGGGTACAATAAAGTGACCAATAGACCATTTAAACCAAGTGGAATATATTTTAAATCAAACATAGACATGCAATAATTCCTTCACTACTTACTAAAACTAAATAAAATGGCTTTTCATTCTTAGCTATTTGATCACATACTAATGACCACGACCTTACTGGAAGGGGTAAAACTGCCTTTATTGTTCACTTGATTACTCCTTGAATACTGACAAAGTGCAAAGTACCCTTTGCATTTAATAGACAATTAGTCCTGAAACTGAATTTGTAAGTGTATCGATTATATATTTAATTACTAGAAACATCTCTTTGTATACATACATTAATGAATAGACTAGCACAATTACAACTTCAACTGGCATTGGTAATTTCTTCCAATGTTATTTTTCTCAGTCTTATTCACAAGGAACGTTACAAATCTTCTGGGATTCACAAACGTGTGTGTATCTATATACATATATATGCATATATGTTCATTTATTTCTTCCACAAAAAGTGAGACTGAGAAGGACAGAGAGGCAGCACTCCTGACAGAGTCCTGATGCCAGGACCCACCCCAGCTTCAGATTCTAGCCTTCTTCCATCTCCTTTCTTTGCCCTGAGCTTGATCTCCTCAGCATGAATTTTACCCAGCATTGAGATTTAGGGACAAAGATCTGAATTTGAATCACAGTTTTCCTTTCCTTTCCAGTCATGACTTACTGCTCATTTCTCAATTCCCTCATTTGTGAAGTAAGAGGGGTGAGCGAGATAATATTGACAGGTGTTTTTGTTTGTTTGTTTTGTTTTTTTTTAAGCTTTCCATTCTAAGGCAAGGCAAATTTTCGAAGATTGGTCTTCAGCAATACTATAAAGGTCTTTCACCCACAGCTGGAAGTTATCCTGGTAACAAACTGAAGAGATCCAATTAAAGAGGAATTAAAAGTTTTCAGCCTTTCTTTAGAGATGTATAAATACATTTGGCTCCAGAATGTATAATAAATGATTTTTATAAAATATTAATTTTGTTAAAGGCAGTGGTATGCTGGTAAATGTTTAATAACTGTTGTGTTTTTTTTTTTTTTTAAAAGCTTGTCATGTTTGCTGATCTCTATGGCATAAATACTCCCATTGTGGCAGTTTTCAAGCTGACAACACCACGCCACTGAACATGGACCGTGAAGTTGAGCTGAGATCATGCGTAGAATTGATGAGCTGGTACTAACCTGCTCCAGATACAGCATCACTAGACATAATCAAGACTTGAGGATCAGGGACCTTCCTAGTTCCAGGTATTTTGATCTTTCTGGACTACTTCCTTAACTACCCAAAGGGGGAAAGCAGCCCTCTATTTTTTGTGGATATAATATTTCAAACATGTATGACTACAGCTCATAAATATAATTACATGCTGATACTTCCAAAAGTTAAATTGCTTGCCAAATACAAATTAAAGCCATTATGGCTTTTATTAAAAGGAAAAAATCTATATTCTACAAATGCATTTAAAAGTAACTTTCAACACACTAAAGTTACCAATTATCTAATTTTTTTTCCTACTGTAAGAAATAGAAATCCATTCAAGTTAAACTCAAGTATATCTCCCCACCCCACCCCCCAAAAAAAGAAATGAACCATTTCTGTAACATTTGAGAGCTTAAAGGCAGTATGGATTAGAGGATCATCTTATTTCTTCTGACCTTTCAGGTTTTCATTTCTGGCTCTTTCCAGCCTTCTCTTTCTATGTTTATAATCAGATCATTGATAATAAGTAGATTCCTTTCTCCCAGTTCTTCTGCTCATTAAGTGTTCACGGTTTCTATGACTCCTCGTTCAAACTTGAGAATGAGAGAGAGAACGATAAATGGAAGAAGATGGGGAAGGGAGAGGGGGCAAGGAGAAGAAAGCAAGAGACTGATTTAGGTGTTTGCTCAGTCAATAGATTCAATTAATTTGAGAAGTTGTATACATCTGTCCCAAACAGCTATGGCTAGGGCCACGCTTCCCATCAGTCACAGATCTTTGGTAATCATAACCACCACAGAAATGACATACTAGATCCTTTTAGTGAACCGTGAAAGTCAAAATCATTACTGTTTAACCCCAAACTGGATGTTCCTTCTGTGAGGCTGTTAGTGTTCAACTGAGAGGAAGATGTCAATAATAGGAAATCCAGAGAACATTTAATTAGCACCAGCTTTGCCTGGTGATGACCATTTCATGACTCATGGAACTGAGGCATAATCACTATTTTTTTTTTTGCATAATCACTATTTTAAAAACTCATTTTGATATTAAGATATCAATAAAATAGAGTAAAGTCACCTGGAAACCTTATCAGTACTAGGCTCTGAAGGTAATCAACTGTGAGTGCCATGGTTTAGCGAGGTCAGATGACACAGATTAAACAGACGAGAACATCCTATATGAACATTCATGCTGAGTCACGGAATGGGAAACTGCTGATTCACAAAGAGCATCACCTGAAATAAGAGGATCCTTACACTCATGTCTTATTAGTCAGATACCACCAGCTGAAACAACAGCCACCCATAATGTTGAGATAAACTGGGGCAACACAGCTGTCCAACAGTGAGAACAGCTTCCTAAGCTCCTGCTAGAGTTAGCAGCCCTCACTAAGAGAGTTAACAGATGGATCAAGAAACAAACCAGAAAGAAATTGTCAAGTAAGCCATACTCTGCTAATTAGTGAACAAAACTGAGATTTACTGGTTTCTGAAAAAGTGCATTCTATCTAGCATACTGGATCTAGCAGAAATTGCATGTCTTGACTGTCATTTTAAAAGACTGCCTTCCTATAGTTCAAAAAAATGTCATAATTCACAGGGGTTAAATATAAAGAACTTTGGCAAGTGGCAATGCTCTGGTATTCATATATATAGGGATTGTGGTTTGGTCATCCCTCCTGGGGGGATGACTTCTCACTTTCCCTCTTACTATCTGTCTCACTGTCACTGATGAGTGCACTTGCCCTATGCAAAAACCTAAAAAAACTACATATGTGTGTGTATATATATATATATATATATATATATATGCACACACACACAACACACACAATACATATATATTATTTTTGATATAGAGTTTAAAAATGATAGGTGAATTTAAAATTGGTGAAGAGCACTATTTTAAATTTGAAATATTATTTCTTGTAATACATGAGATTTGATGAAATAGACAATTCTATATCCACAGCTTTGATTCTGTGTACTAGGAAACTTCAGAAAGTTTATTGAAAATAGAATTAAAATATGAGTTTCTTTTGGCGCAAAAAATTTTGAAATCTTTGTGTAGTTTTTTTCACAATATGTATTTGTTCATGAACTTATTGAAGACCCCTCATTACAGTGCTTTATTTTGTTACTGAACAAAGTTACTTAGTGCCATGAAAATATTGTTACTGTGATTACGTCAAAGAGTTATCAAAATTTCTTTAAACTTGTGACTTTCGCAGACTTGCTACATGCCTTCATCTGAAGGGATAAGAGGGGAGGGGGATAGGGAAGAAAACCATCATGGGCTATATATTAAGAACATTTAAAGACAGCAGCTCAATGGTGGTTTGATTTTTATACTGAAGAATAAAACTGAAAACCATTATAGAGAGATACTATTTTGTGCTATTAACCTATGGTTTTTTTCCTCTCAGTATTTACGATTTCTTCTCACCCCAATTCCAGCAGAAAATTGGCTTTGTGTTTACTGACTCAACAGAGGGATCCGTCAGGGCAGAAAATAGAAATTCACTGCAATTCACTCTGGCTTTGTGTTTCCAAACCTCAGGCCCTTGAGAAAATTTAGAGCACTTAAAGAACGGGTAAGAGAAACAGGATCAGGAGAACAAATATCTTGGATAAAACACATGGGGAGAAGAGTTTCAATCAGATCAAAAGATATTCCCTTGGGAGGGTGAAGAGGTATATGTAAGAAGGGAATATTGGTGTTCAGTGGGCTGGGTTCGCTTCCTGGCAGCCCTGCTAGGGATGCAAAATGCCCATGTGGTGTATCCGGGACCCACACAAACATCAGTGAAAGATTTCATGTCCCCAGTATGGAATATGAACAACAAAGAGCTACCGGTGACCACATGGTGGTCATCTCAGTTACAAATTCTGTGTGTAAAGGGTTACAATACGAAGTGTAGATAATGGGAGAAAGCTAAAGACTGAGAATGGGATGTGGGAGAGTCTGGCAGGATAGGTGCCTGAAACAAAATCTAAAGTCGGAAAACAGAAAATTAAGGAAATTCTATTTGTTGCCCACTCAAGTTGTGGAATACTATTTGTATCTGTTTTACAATATATGCATCTCCTTCATGAAAGGCAGTTTAAGTGATAGTTCTTCCCTCAATAATTTCTAAAGATTTGTCAGAGGGCACATGTGTGAGAGAGAGAGAAAGCACCCTCCCGTAGGGGATTGTCATGCCACAATCCCTTCACATCCATTTCTCCCTTCAGGATTTTGGGTGGGCGTATGCAAAATACATGCATGTGCACACACACACACACACACACACACACACACATACAAACACACACTCAGCATGTTTCTTAAGCTGCTGGGTCTTGGACTTGAACCACTCAGTCAGTGATATGGGATCCAGTTGCCTTAACCACCACCACATCAGCAGGCTTCTTCCTTTAATAATTTTAAAATAACGGATCAACGACATGCTTATAAACAGCAACATCGTTTAGACACCAGCAAAGTTGTAAACATCGGTTAAAACTAATACTTAGTGGTAGACTGTTTTTTTTTTTTTTCTTTTTTTCCTTGCCAGAGGGAAAATGTGCCCACCAGAGAAGAGGGGAGGGGAGGGGAGAGAGTGAGAGAGCACCCCCAGGGGGATGGTCACACTGCAGTCCTTTCACCTCCATTTCTTCATCTTGTCAGGATATGGGGCATATGCACTCATGGGCTCAGTGTGTTTTTCAAGCTGCCAGGACTGGGATTTGAACCCTGCATCAGTTATGTGGGATCCAGTTCTTTTATGTACAGCACTCAACTGCTGCATTTTGCGGCCAGTCCTGTAGTAAATCTTATGATATGTACATTATTTGAAAGATCAATACATTTTATAAAGTAATTAAAAATATGTATCAGGGTAACATCAAGCTTAACAGTGTTCTTATGCAAAATAGTTAAATATTAAGATTGCTAAGGATGCATGAAAAATTACCATCAGTATTATGAAGAAGAAGTAATAAAAATTAAGTAGTGTAATCTAAATAGTCAGTAACCAATTATCTCCACCCTACTGAATAAAAGAAAGCAAGCATGGGAAAGACAAGCATAATTACAATTAATTAAATCAATAAAGACTTTCTGATTCATGCTGTCATCATACTGGAGATATAAAGTGGCAACCCACACTACAAAAGTCACCCTTCACATTTCAACAGAGCTTTATAGAGTGTTTTCACATAGAAGATCTGTTTTAATCTTCACATTAATAATTTGATGACTATATATGACAGCTATATAAACAAATAACTGATCTAATTTCAGTAGTGATACATACTATGAAGACAAATAACGGAAGACTAGGGGATCAAGAATGTGTGTACTGGCCAGCAGGGGGCATGGTGGTTAAGGCGCTGGACTCTCACACGGCTGACCTTGGTTCAAGTCCCAGACCTGGTGGCTTGTTTTCTCAGCTTTCTGTAAGTCTGTTGGTCCCTCCCTCTCTTTGTCTCTCTCTGGTATGTGTGCCCTATAGCACGTTTAGAAAAATAATAATGATAAATAAAATTAAGTGGTTATTTTTTAAAAGCATGTGTGTTCATGTATATGAGGTGGTTGCTATTGGATTGAGGGTAGTCAGGAAAAGAAAGATGTGGCGTTTGCACATAGAACTGGGCACCAGGCAGAGGCATGGCAAAAGAGTGTCAGAAAGGAGACTACAAGTGTATGTATATGACCCGGGATTCCAAAGAAGGTGAGTCTGAGTAGAAAGAAGTTAGCAAGCGAGTGGTAGGCAATGTGATTGAGAATCGCCAGGAAAACATAATATAGGTTAAATTCACAAGTTTGTATTTTAATTTGAGTGTGCTCATGAGTCACTGAAGAGCTTCAAGCAATGGGCAAGATCTGAATTTTTTTTTTAGAGTTTTTTTTTTTTTTTTTTTCTCCCTACAGGGCACATGCGCTGCCAAAAAGACAGAGAGACAGAGAGACAGAAAGCAACCCCCAGGGAGGATGGCTACGCTGCAATCCTTTCTCCGTTTTCCTCTCAGGATCTTGGGCACACATGCACACGCACCCGGTGTGAGTTTAAGCCACTGGTCTAGGACTCGAACCGTGGTTGATTACATGGGAGTCTAGTGACATAGCCATTACGCCAGCTGCTGGTCTCCTCACTAACTTTTTGAAGCCCTTTTATATAGATGAGAGAGAATGTGGCTTGAGTGGGGGAGTAGCCGTGGAGCTGGTTAACTGTAGTTGGATTGGGCACACCCGTTGATGCTCAGGTCAGCAGGACTTGCTGGTGTACTGGACATGGGAGGTGAGAAAACAAGTGGAGTCGAGATGGTGGTGCTATCTATTGAGATAGAGATTTGGAGGTTAGAGAAAAACTACAAGTCCTCTTTAGCTAGTGCTCAGGGAGCTAGTATCCTGACTTCTGCATATTCATTCCAGTGCATTGGAAACACTTCCAGAACTGGTATTGATGTTAATACAGTAGGTATGGCCTGTTTAGAGAACCTCCTTCAATTCATTTGCTCTGGTGACCAGATATGTGGAACTATTGTTACAAAACTTCTAACTGTTGTCTGAAATCCCCTTTAGCCAATGTATTGACTTCTGATTTACTTGCTATGGGTTAAGGATCCTCCACTGGAGCTGTCCTCAGCATGTTTAAGGCAGTTAAGTCACATGGGTTTAATTAGCTCTCTGCAAGAGCTATGCTCCCAGGGAAGGAGAGCCCTGCCTGTTTAAACTTTTAAGTCCTTCACTCACAAAGAGAAACTTGGGATTCATTTCTGAATTTGACTTTTTTGTGTGCCTTATGGAATGTAAGTTAGAAAAACTGTGAAGAGAAATCTAACATTCCACTTAAGCCAAGTGATTTTCCTTCAAAAGAAGGGAGCCGACAAGTTTTAGAATATGTCCTGCCAACTTTTCTTTAAAATAATTCTTCCTTTAGGGAAAAAAAAATCTGTTTGATCAATTTTTCCCAAGCTCTCATCTTTAGCCTACTACCCCACATCTAGCCAGACTCACCCATTACTTAATGTTTTCTTACAATCCACTCACTTTTTAATATTCAAATGCCATTTGAAGCAGAACTTTTATGGAACTCCCACAAATGGCAGCTCAGGATCGCTTGTTAGGAGAGGAGGCAAGGACACAGTAAATACAATTGTGGCTCACGGTTGTGGTGGCCTTTTCCTGTTTGAGTGATGTGAGCCTAAAAAGGCTCTGTCTCTGATTGATTTTGAAAGCTTTCCCCTGCTGGCATTTGCTCCTGTGAGCCGAGTGTCATTTGAAATTCAATGACAGGAAAGATTTCAAAGCTAGGCAGGCTACAAACTACCATGGAGTAGGCTTCCTAACTCCCACCTGCAAACTGCAAATGGTCAGCACACCACATATGGGAAACACACAACATCAGAAACTCTTCAAGTCAGGGACCTGGAGAAGGAGTTAAATTCATGGCATGATCACTTTAAAGATGAATTTCAGTATTGGCTCTCTCTACATTTACTTACCCAGAGAGGTATTTGCCTGGAGTTGTTTGAAATAGAGACTTAAAGACCTCTTTCAAACAGAAATAACTCCTCATGGGCAGAGGGAACAAAAGGCTTTGTATAACCCTACTGCTATCTTTTCTAGGATCTAAAGTACAATTCCCCAGAACTTTGGCACCAATATTTTGTCAAGAAACCTTGAAATCTCTAGGCATTTAAATCTCCCCACAATGTTAGAATACTTATCAATTCAGGATGATTTCCTGAATGAGTAAGGTCAAATATTACATTTCACTCTATGCATTTTAACAAATTTGTATTCAGTAAACCTTGCAAACATCCTTTTTTCTTTTTTACCAGAAACAGACTTCAGCTTTGGTTCCACGGTACAGTAGTGAAGGGCTGTACGGAAAGAGCTGAATCCCACATGACTGACCACAATGCAAATTCAAGCCCAACAGCTTAAAAAACATGCCAGCTCACGCACGTTCAGGGTTCAGGATCCTGATAGGAAGGAAGAATGGAGGAAAGGGGATTGCGGTGTGATCAGACCTCACGAGGGTGAGAGAACTTTCTCTCTTTCTGTCTCTGGCTTGCACACATGCCCTCTGGCATTAAATAAAATAAATAAAGATGTAGACTTTAACCTTGGCTAACACTGTTCATTCCTACCCGTATTCAAATTCACCCATATTCAAATTCACTTCAGCTCAATTCCACTGTGCATTCTCATTGACTTCTTATCACGCTTGCAGCACCCAATCTCTGGAGAGATCATGTGACAATCTGATTATCTGGTATAATTTTCACCTGTTTATGCTTTATTATCTCAAGTCTAATATGGCTACATAGGATCAATTTTATGTCTGCTTAATTTATTCCCGTTTGTTAAACATTTAGATTGTTTTATACAATCATTCCTCAGCTATGATGTGATAAAATCATGTTTCATCTCCATTTGCCGCGGCAAAGGTGGAACACAGCACTGGAGAATAGAGAAATATGCTGGAATATGGGGACTAAATACACACAGAAGTTTCTCATAATAAAGAGCACCTAAAGATGCTACATCAAATTTTATATATATGTGTGTGTGTGTGTGTATATATATATATGTATATATATATGTGTGTGTGTGTGCATATACATATTTAAATTAATTTCATTTTCTGTAATTTTGTTATAGGGTACGTATACTTGACAGAGAGAAAGAGGAACAGAAAGTGAGAAAGCACCCCCTGGGGTGGTTATGCAATCTCTTCTCTAGCATTCTCCTCTTGGGATGTTGAGCACACATGCTGGTGCACACAGCATGTTTTTCAAGTCACTAAGTTAGGGACTTGAACAGCACAGTTGGCCATGTGGGATCCAGCTACTTTAACTATCATGCCACTGTTATCCCTAAATAATATTTTCTTAGAAAGCGTAGTTGAGCTGTAGGAGAGAAAGAAAAACATTTGAAGACCATAAATGGGGAGGAGGCAAGAGGAGCCCCTAGCGCTGGTGTTGTTACTGACATTACAGCTAAATACGATGAAAATCTTCTCAGAAATATATATATTTTTCTTTTTTTTGGAGAGGTTTTTGCTGTAAGGCGCGTGTGATCGCCAGACACAGAGAGAGAGGGAGACAGAAAGCGAGAAATCACCCCCTTGGGGTGATGGCCACACCACAATCCTTTCTCCTCCATTCTCCTCTTGGGGGGATCTTGGGCACACACACACACGTACCTGGCGTGAGTTTTAAGCCACCTGGTCCAGGACTTGAACCGAGGTCAACTCCATGAGAGTTCAGCGACATAGCCATTATGCTAACTGCTGGTCCCGCTCAAAAAGATTTAAAAAGGCGAACTATTGTACATAGTATAAAGGATGCATGCCTGTAATAAGACTAAAAGATATTGGCATTTGAATTTTGTATGATTTTCACATCACAAAATCTTTTTATTTGCTTAATCATTTTATGCATGTACAAACTATTCAGAGCTCATGTGCCATGCAGACAGCAGTGTATGGGAGTCGTCTCATTGAACGTATTTTCTGACCTCAGACTTAAGTCCTTAGTTTCATCTGTCATTTTAGTATCTGTTTTTCTTTTGTAAAGACGTATTTATTCAACTTCATTCATCATTATTATTTTTTTTTAAATTTGCTATAGGACATATGCACAAGAAAGGGGGTGTTGGGAAGGGGGAAAGAAAAATAAAAGGGGAGCAGGGAGAGGGAGTGAGAGAAAGCTACCAGGTCCAGGACTTGAACTGCAGTCTACCACATGGGAGTCCAGTGCCCTAACCACCACACCATATGGTGGCCCCATTGTGTCTGCACTTTTGTCCCATGTATGCACTCTCACAAATCTGGATTGCTTATATACACTTGCAAAAGCTAAGTCTAAACTGGATACAAGATATGAAGGAAGTATTTTTATGATGCTCAATATGCTAGCCCTGTGTTTTCTCTCAACAGGTTGCTATTTAAACTCCTCTTTGCCATGATGGGTACAAATCCTCACTGAGTAATAGTTCAGCAAAACTGAGCCGACCTGCAAAAATCACTGACACAGGCTTGTACAACTTTCATCATGGCCTCACAGGGGTTGAGGAAAGGGAAGTCACTGTCTTGACAAGTGAGATGTTTCCCAAGCAAGCAAAGGGTCTCTCAGCAGAATGTCAGCTGTGTGCAGATTTTTTTTTTTTGGGGGGGGGTTGTTACCATGAGATTGAAAAACTGAATTGCACCCTCCGATGACTAATAGTACTATTTTTAAGAACTCTAAAGTAACTACCAGGTGAAAAGAAATCACATGACTTTGTGACCATGGACTATCTGGCACTATGTCATTCATAGAAATCCTAATACCATAGGGTTTCTGAAGAAAACTGTTGAAAACTTCACAACAAAGGCAATATTTTGAACACTCAAATGTATCAGTGACAAATAGGATTATTTCCAATAAGACTGTCAGGGCACATGCAATTTATTCTTTTCCTCATTTTTAATGAAGTAAATAATAATTCAAGGGCAGTCAGACCTGAAGAGCACTAAAAATTTCTTTCAAAGTAAGTGACTTGGATAAGAACGCATCACCTTAGAAACAGCACATTTCAAAATTGTCTGTGATTGAAAGTAACATAATATTATAATAAAGTATGCTATTTTTTCACTGTACTTAAATTGCCTAAAGATGGGGCAGAGGGAAATGACTTCAATCAAAGTGAAATCTCAGCCTTGAATTGATTCACAATAAATTTGGTTTTATCATTTTCACCTAATTTCTACACTCTTTCATTCATATACACACTCCTCATTATACATGAAACTTCATTCAGGAAGAGAGTATTTGAATGTGATGAAAGAGTTAAAGAGAGTAGAAAATGCTGCACAAATGATCTACTTGGGAGAATTACGCTGAGTTATTCCTATCTCATTACTCGGAGTCCACAACGAAGGCAGAAAATCAATTTCATTACCGAGCAATGCTGTCAATCACAGCCCATTACACCATTTAACATTAGAGTTACATTTGCCCTGCTATTTTATGATTGGTCTATATAATGGCTTTAAAATTTTATTTGAGAAAAGGAAAAGGAAATACTTTCAATTTGGAAAAAAATGTTGAACATGAAACATGATCACATTCTACATAGGGTTCATTGCCATATTAATATTTCCCAAAATGTCATAGAATAAAAATGATGTGAAATTAGACAATTTCCTTGGACCAGTTTGGGGCTTAAGGTCACTGGATCCCACATGGCCAACCATATGGCCAATTCTGCGGTTCTAGTCAGTGGCTTGAGAAACATGCCAGGCGTGTGTGTGTGCATATGTGCCCAAAAATCCTGAAAGGAGGGAGAGAGGAGGGAGAAGGGATTGTGGCAATGACCAGGCCCCATGAAGGTGCTTTCTCATTTCACATCTCT